AAAAAAAAAAAAAAAAAAAAAAAAAAAAAAAAAAAAGAAAAGAAAAAGAAAAAAGAAAAGTAAAAGAAAAAAAGGAGAAGCTTACTATTGGCTGATCAAATACATGCAGATGATGAGGTCTGTTTAAGGGTCCTGGAGAGAATACTAAGCCTTTATAATAATCTAAGCAAATCTTTGTGCTTTGACTATACTAGGAGCAAGTCCAAAGAGGGATTGTGGTTCCAAGGGCCATCTGTCATACTGCGGTGCAGGTATCAAGGGAGAGGTCTTGGATTCTGGTGTGAGAGAATCTGGGACTGATGACGACAGCCTCACGATGTTTTATTTTAGGTGTAAACCCAATGAACTTTGTCTATGTTGGGGGTGAATACCTGGAGTTCTACATTATTTCATTTGCCATGGTTTTTTTTTGCATCCAGAGACATAGTGTAGGAGAACTGGGTTGATTTTTACAGCTTGTCTGACTCAGTCTGCTTACTGATGATATGGAATCCTGGCAGGGAAGAGACTCTTCAAGGTCACACAGCACTAAGTGGCGCAGCTGGAAAAAGAGCCGAATATTTTCAACTTTGCCTTCCTTCCTAACACCGAGCATTTGAGGTAGTAGGACCTGTTCACTTAGATAAAAATATTTTTAAAAATACATTCCCCTGAAAGTGTAGTGAATGTATTCTTTTTCCTCAACTTCCAAAGTGGAAAAATACATTTGAAGAAAAGAGGTTGTTCAACTTACATTAGAACCAGGATAATGGTGGATTTCTAGACCAGGTACTGTGGGACTTCGTAGGATATAGTAAAAGTTGCAGAGTGTTGCAGATTTTAAGCTGGGTTTTAACAAGGAGTGACATATATTTAAAACAACGTCCCTCTGTCTGTTGTAGGGTTTATTCTTGTTGGTCCCTAAAAGGTGAAAATGGACAAAGGGAGGCCTGTCATCTCGGGGGTATGTGGTCCACTTGGTGGATGTGGAGATACTGGGAACGTCAGAGGACATGAGGGAGGCAGGCTGACCCAGGGCAGACTGTACCCGTGGGCAGCTGAAGGCACGTGTAAGTAACACATGTCCTAGTTGATTAGGGAGAGCAGAGAGTCCACAGCTCTTTTTAATTGCCGTGTCATCTTGCCAAACCTGACACTGCTCTGTCGGTTCTGCGGTCATGAGGACTTTTCTGCTAGCTTTGGTTATGCTACTGTTCCTGTTCCAGGCCATTCCAGGTAACCTGCACCTCCGTAGGGGAGGAGGAGAGGGTAAAGAGTGAATCTTGGTTAGGGCACTTCAGGGCCTGGGGAGGATGATCAGACAGTTGGCAATATGAAGTACTATTTGAAGAAAGACTTGGTGTTGGGGGGAACTATGCAGAATTTGTTGGGTAGAGCATTCATTTCTTAACTGAACCACTTACTAAGGAGATGTTTCTCCTCATCCACTATTTGGTTATCTTGGAGCTTAGAGAATTTAGAAAGGAAAGGCAGGATAAATGCTTGACTCTCTTTTTGCTTCTCAGTTTGCTGGATAATGCCTTAATTTTCTATCAGTCTTTAAGTTTGAGCAATTATTTTTTTTGCTACATATTATTTATTTTGAGCTCATGATTCTAAGACATCAGGTCAGTCTGCTGCAATCATTATGCCCACTGCAGTAGAAACTGTCTTATTCTTGGTCACTGGGAACCTCTTCAGTTTGGCTTATGAGTCTTTTTTATATATTCCTAATCTTTGATAGCTTCTTTTGTATCTAGTATAATATAATGGCAGGCTTGTTTTTATAATTTTCTATGCAAGAACTAGAATCAGTCATGTCTTCAAACAACCCTAGTATCTTTTATTTAGTGGAAGATAATATTTAATACTACAATATTGATGCTAAGGGATGCAGATTCCTACTGATGGGTCATTATTGCTGCACTTTATTAGTGACTAGTGCTGGAAGTTCTATCATCTATCTATCATCTATCTATCTATCATCTATCTGAAATAATGCCCATGAGTTCATACTGGTAATTCCATTCTAATTCAAAACTGAAATTCAGAACTAGCTTCTATATCATATCAATTTTTTTTGTCCTGAGAATTCTGGTTTTCAAGGTCACAGGGGATTATAGAATATCACATAATTACTTATTTGTTTTATCAATGAGAGATAAATCACATACACATTATTATAATACAGTACTACTACCATAATATGATTACTCAAGCTAGTTAAAATTTTTTCAAATCTTCTCATCATTATTCTCCTATTTTTATCGTGTAGTATGTCTATATTGTTGGAACATATAGCCATTACATACTCTGTACCCTTATTTTAAATCCTCATTTAATTTTAGTCCTACAAGTAGCTGTATGTTTAATATTTAATCATATATCAACTTCCTTCTCATTTACTCCTCTAAAATGTTTTTGCTACTAGATTTTTTAGGAAATGTGCATAGGAATAGTATTTTGTAAGTCTCAGTACATTGATAACAGTTCATTTTTGTTCTTTGTCATTGGAAGTCAGTTTTGTTAGATGTAACATTGCTTATTTTTTTCTTTCCTTGAGTATCTTAAATATATGACAGCAATGTCTTTCTGGCATAAAACATTATTGTCAAAAAGTTTAAGTAGGTCTTATTTTCTTTCCCCCTGCTTTTCATTGTATGGCCTGCTTGCCCAAAACATAATTTCTTCTTATAATGTCCAGTAATTTTAGTAGAATATAGGTTGCTTTTGGTCAGTGTTCTCAGGTATGCTGTATGCCCATTTAGTATTTGTTTTCAAATATTTTTCACTTCAGGAAATTTTTATTTGGTACAGTTTATAGTTTCAGTTCTGGTTTCTTATTTTTTCCTCCAGTGATTCATTTCATTATGTTAGATACATTTTTTTTTGCTTATCATCAGTATTTAGCACATTCCATTGATTCCTATTTCTTCCTTTCTTTTTGATTACAATATCCTCTTTTCCACTCTGTATTTCTCTTAAGCCATTATCTGCTTTATTCACTAATGTGCTCCTTCTGTAAAAACTTTGACTTATGAAATGATTTTTTGAATTTTGAATCTTTCTGAGTTCCTTTCATTTAATATCTCAATTTATTTAATGTTGATTAAAAAAAAGCACTAATATGGTTCCTACAATGATTGAAGCAGGCATTATATCTTCTTTTTAGAAGACACAGAATTGGTTCTCTGCCAAAGGAAGTTATCTACTCAGGGTCTACCAGCTGGCTTGTGATGCAGACAGATTTCAAATCCAGGTCTTGGGTTCCAGTGGTCCATGTTCTCAACTGTCCTGATCCACTGCCTCTTTGACAGGGAGTATTCAGGGAGGGCTGGGATGGGGGGTTTCCAGAAGGGGTGTGAGACTATATGCTATTCTAAATATCTAGAGGTGAAATCTTTTTCTGTTTGTCTCCCTCTTACTGTTCTCAATCCAGGACCTGTTTTCTCTCATGACTGACATAGGCACTCTTGTTTTTACTCTTTGTGTCAGGCAACGCCGAAAGATGTTGGAATGAGCGTGGCTCCTGCCGTGAAAAATGTGGAAAGAAGGAACTGTTTTTCGTGTTCTGTGTGAGTGGTAAAGCGTGCTGTGTGAAGCCCAAGTACAAGCCAAATATACCACAGAAGTGAGCTGTGTTTTCAAGTCCAAGACCACAGACATGAAGACAAACCTGTCCAGAGTCTGGCCTCAGTAGATTTCTGAGCTTAATTAAAATACGTTTGGCTGATGACTGTGTTTGTCTCTTAGTTTACTTAATCAAACTCATGCAGAAGAGACATGGATGAGGATTCATTTTGCTGTATCTGTGGGTTCTTCTGCATCTCTGTGTGGATTCAACCAACTGAATATTGAAAATATTTGAAAAACAATTACACCTGTACTGGACATGTAAAGATTGGTTTTCTTGTCATTATTCTCTAGATAACAAAGTAGTACAACTATCTGCATAGCATTTATGTTGCGTTAGGTATTGTAAGTCATCCACAAAAGGTTTAAAGTACAGTTATTGCTTGGAATCTGTGAGGGAATATCCTGACAATACCAAAATTTGTGCATGCTCTAGTCCTTCTATAGAGTGGTATATAACCTATGCATATTGTCTTGTATACTTTAAATCATAGCTATATTACTTAGAATAGCTAATACACTGTAAACATTATATAAACACTTTAGTACAGTATCAGGGGATAACAAGAAGGAAAAAACCATCTGCACATGTTCAGGACAGATGAAAGTATTTTTCTGGACATTTTTACCTGTGTCTGATTTAATTTGTGGATGTGGAACCCATGAATAGGGAGGGCTGATTGTCTATGGGAAGATGTGTGTGAGTTATATGAAAATACCTGGGTATTTTATATAAAGAGCTTGGTAGGCTCTTTACTACTTGGTAGGCTCATGACTATAATCCCAGCACTTGGAATTAATTCTCCACAAACACTGAGGGACAACTGTAAATACAGGAGAGAAAGCTGGACCTACCATGGGTTAAGAGCTTTTCATTCTTTACCTCATATATTCCTCAATATATTTTATGGTTTTATATAGGTCTATTTAAAAAATAAAAATTGAATGTATTTAAGGTATGCAGGATGATGATCACAAATGCATATATATTGTGAAATGATTACCAGAATCAAGTTAATCAACACATCTATTACCTCTCATAGTCACTGTATTCTTTTACCATTGTGATGAGAACATTTACAATATATTCTCTTAGCAAATTTCAAGTATAGCATACATTACAGTATTAGCTGTAGTTACTGCTGTGGTTTGAATGTTTTTGTCCCCTCAAAAAGTCATGTTGAGCCAGATTTAGTAGTGCATGACTATAATCCCAGCACTTGGGGGGCTGAGGTGGGAGGATTGCTGTAAGTTCAAGGCCAGCTTGGGCTACAAAGTGAGTTCAAGGCCAGCCTGAACTGCATAGTGAAACCTTGTCTCAAAAAAACAAAAACAAAAAACAAACCAAAAAAAAACAAAACAAAACAAAAAAACAAACAAAAAAACCCCACAAAAAAACCCCAGTCATGTTGAAACTTAATCCCAGTGCAACAGAATTAAGAAGTCTGTCCTTCAAGAGGCGACTGAGACAGATTCGATGGCTTCATAAAAAGGCCTGATGGAGGAAGGTTGCTCCTTTTCATCTCTTCCATCCGATTATGTGAAGACAAAGTATTCTTCCCTGCTGGAGGGTGTGGCAACAAGATATCACTTTGGAAGCAGAGGTATAGCCTTTATCAGTCTTGATTTTGAACTCTCGGCTTCCAGAACTGAGAGAAATAATTTCTGCTCTTTCTGGTCAGGTGTTTTTGTGGTAGGAGCACAAATGGACTAAGATTCTCAGCATGCTACAGAAAATATTCAGAGCTTACTCATAACTGAGAGTTCTGTAACTGACATCTCCCCTTTTCTCTCATCCCTTAGCCCCATCAGGCATCATTCTACTCTATGAGTTTGACATTTTTAGATGCTACATATAAATGTGATCAGGCAGGATTTGCCTTTATGGGACTAGCTTATTTCACTTAAGATGACGTCCTCCAAGTTGTTACAAGTGGAAGAACTTCCTTTCTTTGTAATGAACAGTATTTTATTGTATATTATAGCACATTTTATATTTCCCCTCATCCATCAACACATAGGCATTTCTATATCTTGATTATTGTGATTAATACTGCAGTGAACTTGGGAGTTCAGCCATGTCTTTAACACACTACTTTTATTACCTCTACATGCAAACCCAGTAGTGGGATCACTGGACCACACGATAGTTCTGTTTAATTTTTTGAAGAAAAAAACATCGATGCTGCTTCCATCTTCACTCATAGTACACAAATGCACCTTTTCTTCACAGTTGTCTTTCATCTTTTTCATCACAGTCATCTTCATAGGTGCAAGGAGATATTTCAGTGTGGTTTTAATTTGCTTTTTTGTCATGATTACTGATTTTGAGCAATTTTTCATATGCCTGTTGGCCATTTGTATGTCTTATTTTGAAAAATGTCTATTTCAGATCCTTTGTCCTTTTAATAATCAGATTCTTGTTTTCTTTTTATGGAGCTATTGGAGTTCTCTGTATATTTTGGATACTAATCCTTTATTATATATAGGGATTACAAATTTTTCCCATTTCATAGGTTATATTTTCACTCTTGTGAGAAGTGTTGTTTCCTTTGTTGTGAAGAAGTTAGATATAATACCACCTGACTATCTCTGCTTTTGTGCCCCCAAATCATTGCCCAGGTAAATTTCTTAGATCTTCACTTATGTTATCTTCTGGTAGTTTTATCCATCCAGGTGTTACTTCATATTTTTAATCCAGTTTGAGTTAATTATTTAATATTATGAGAGATAAGTGTCTAATTTCTTTCTTCTGCATGTGGATATGCAATTTTCTCAGCACCACTTAAGATACTGTCCTTATCCACCATGTATTATTGGCACTTTTGTTGAAAAATCAATTGGCCACAAGTGCATGGGTTTATTTCTAGGTTCTCTGTTGGCTGATGTGTCTGCTTTTAATGCCAGTGCCATGTTTTCCTGATTACCATGTCCTGGGGAATTTTGGAATGAAGTGGTGTGATATTTTCGACCCTGTTCTTTTGCTTATGATTGTTTTGGCTGTTTGGGATGCTTTTCAGTCCCATGTGAATTTTAGGTCTTTTTCTGTTTTGTGAAGAATATCACAGGCATTTTGATAGCAATTGCACTGAACCCATAAATTGCTTTGGGTAGTATAGATATTTTAACAATATTAATTCTGTTAATCCATGAACATGTAGTAGTATCTTTCCATTTATTTATATCTTTTTCTTTCTTTTTTTTTTTTTTTTTGGTCTTTTTTTTTGAGACGGTGTCGCATTATGCAGTTCAGGCTGGCCTTGAGCTCACTTTCTAGCGCAGGTGGCCTCAAACTCTCAATGATCCTCCTGCCTCAGCCTCCCAAGTGCTGGCATCTTTTTCAGTTTTGTTCATCAACGTCTTATAGTTTTCAGTATGTAGATCTTTTATCTCTTCCATTAAATTTATCTCTAAGTATTTCATTTTGTAGCTATTATAGATAGGATTATTTTGTTGATTTATTTTTTGTTGTTAATATGCAGAAGCTCTATCATTTTTTTGTATGTTGGTTTTACTGCTTGCAACTTTATTTAATTTCTCTTTCCCTGCTTTCCTCCCTCTCTCCTTCCTTTCCTCCTTCTCTTCCTTCCTTCTTTTCTTGTTTCCTTCCTCTGTTTCTCTCCCTTTTACTCTCTCTCCCTTTCTCTCTCTCCTTCCTTTTTTCTTTTTTTATGGGATCTTTGAGACATTGCCCAAGATAGTATCAAGACAGCCACCAACCTCAACTTCCTGAATATCTGAGACCACAGATACATGCCACTGTGCTCAGCCTCATTTTTATTTTTGATGGTATTCTTAATGGGATTTTAAAAAAATATTATTTTTTCAGTAGTTAATCGCACATCTATTCCTTTAAATCACCGCTGTCATTGTTTTATTCATGGCTGGGGGAACTGGTTTCCTCTATACCTGGTGATCTGATGCCATCTTGGATCTCCATTCATACTATCTTGTAAATTTTCTTTAGTTTTCTCTTGAGATGAATGCTTTGCTTTCTGGATCCTAGATCTTTCTTGATTTACTCTCTAATTTGCACAGTGCATTTGCTGGTAGCTTCCCGAAAATGTTTAATTTCAGTGTACTAACTTCAAACTTAGTAATTTGAAAGATCATTGAATGTTGGAAAATGAATTTATCTCAGAGTTTTGAAGACTTTGAACCATTGTCTTTCTCTTGTGTGTGTGTGTTTTTGAGACAGGGTCTCCTATGCATTTCAGGCTTGCCTTGAGCTCACTTACAGTCCAGGCTGGTCTTGAACTCGCAACAATCCTCCTGTCTCAGCCTTCCGAGTGCTGGGATTACAGGCGTGCACCACCACACCCAGCTGTCTTTCAATTTTAGTGTTACTGTGTAAAAATCAGAAGACATTTGAATTCTTCTTATATATGACTTGTTATTTCTCCCTGAAAGTTTTAAGATATTCTCTTGTCTCCAATGTTTTAAAATTTCAAAATGTAGTGGTTGATTCATTTTGTTAATTTTGGAAGTTTAGAAGCTTAGCTGAGTGACTCATTAGTTCTACATCCTAGGGTGCAGAGGACCCACTCGAGGGTGGATAGCCGGCATATGATATAAGGGAAGAAAATGGAATTGCCCTCCCCCTTTTGTCCTTGTTGCTTTTGTGTCTTCCACTGCCATGAACTGTTGTTGCCCCTCTGCTTTGGAGACAGCTGGTTATGGACTGAAACCTCCATAAACTGTGAGCTAAATAAACCTTTCTTCCTTAATTTTGGGCATTGGGTATTTTGTCTCAGCAACAAGAGAAAAGTAACTAAGACAAAAATGATGTCTCTAAATGTCATGTAGTGTTATTTAGATCAATTTTTCTGTCTTTTCTGTGTGGATATTCATATCCTTCAAATGTAAGGCATTTGTTTCTTGATGTTTCTTTGATAATTTCCTGCCTTGTGTTTTTTCTGTTTCACATTCTCTGGAATTTTTATTTTTTAAATGGTCAGCTCCCTGGTCAATTCTCTAGTTTTGGAGTATTTTCTCTATTGCTTTTAATTCCATCATTTTTTTCCTTCCTGACTTTTTTTTTCTAATTTGGAGGAAGGCCATATCCCTCTTAAAACATCCCCTTTCAGGTGTTTGCTTGAAAAA